TTTAATTAGCCCTGGATGACGCATCTCACAATTCAGGGCAATCTCTCGGCCTCTGAATACTTCCGGATCTAACCTAACCATATACTAGGCTCTGTGCCCATCTAATAACATGGCAGCTAAGTGGCTCGTGCGTGCCGCACAAAAGGCTTCCTGCGGCCGCCGCCCAATGAAAGGCCGTTGTCAATTCCGGCTGCCGCTTTGGGCTAATTGATGCGGGGCAAGTTCGAAGCCCACCGCCCTTCAGTCTCGCGCCGCTGCCGCGTTAATTGCTGCATCGCTGAGTTTGACACTTGCGGCGCATAACCGCCGGTCCGTACGCTTAATTACAATCATCGTCGTTGCTCACCGTAGACTTGAGTCAAAGAACATGCTTGTTGATAATGTGTTTAGTTAGTTTATGTTACATACGTGTGGGCGTTTCACATGATATTAAGTGATATCCGCTGCCCATGAACGTCTACAACACCCTAGGGCTTCCAGATGCGTTAAAAAACTTTAAAACAATTGGTATGCGGTCGCACTCGCCGCACCGACCGCGAAAGTATTATAACCTTTTTAAATCAATATCGGGCCAGCCATGCAACAGTCCGCTGTTGCATGAATGGCCCGCCAGCTCGCTTGCTACCTTATAACATGAGAAAAGAACGCTACATTCGGTTGGTGAAACTGGCACCCGTTTCTCCTATTGAATATTACTGTATTACATCTTCAGAGTTTTGAGTTTCAGTGTTATTTGATATACGTCAATAAATGTAGCAATGTTAGGAGCAGATTATTCTGACTATATAAATGTGTTTGAACGTTACGGTAGTTTTATGCCCGGAAAGTTTGTATTTTCAACTATTTAATTTCTTAAGATAATTAAAACTTTCATATCAATTTTTCAATACTCGTAGTGCTACAATTTTTTATTACCATGATACGTTTTTTAGCTTAAATATAACGGTTTTTCAATCAAGTATGATGAATTATTATTTTTAATTTTAAAAATCCTGTCCGTAAATAAAACGGACAGGATTTTTATCAAAGTTGAATTGCGACTTTGCCAACGTCTGCAACAAGCCCTTACTACTTGAAAAAAAAGTATGTGTGTACTTATGTACCAACTTAAGGCGCTGTATGCAATAAAAATAGGTTTTTCTAAAAATTTTTTGCAAAATCTATACTAAAATGTATAGATAGCAGCAAAAAATATATGTTAATCTTGATCTTCATTCTAATGGAGCATTGTTTTCAAAACATGTTCTAGATATATTTTCTCAATTATTCATATAATATATATCATATTTTCTCGTTGAACAAAGAGCGCTGAGGCGCGTTGCTAGATGGACCTATGCCGCTTGTCCTCCGCTCACCGTTACGAAATATGTTCCTTATCAATATCCGCCTAAAGAAGTTTTCAATAAAAACTTCTTTAGGCGCGACTATGGAGTAACTCAGATTTTTTTGACGGAAGTAACGCTTTTTCTGACGGAAGTAACGTCATATTTTAAAAATATGACATATACTTATGACGTTACTAAATATTTAATCATTTCAGTGATATATGCCGTCAACGCCAAAGAAGTTTTGCTACAATCGCGCGTAAAGGTTACACGCACACACTTTTTTTATTTACCATTTAATTTCTGTTGATTTTTTTTTTATAAATAATTACAACGAAATATTATTGTAATTTTTGAACGTAGAACGAACAGTTTGAGAACAATCTATCAGATAATAAACCAACTTTTCATTATTTCAAAATTTTAACAAGTCGTATATTGTATATTGTTTTTTTTTTAAATAAAATATTTAATTTTTCACCCTAAAACGACTTAATTTTTAATGAACATGAAAAATAATTGTTTTATAATTTTTAATTAATTTGTTTATTTTCCACATTTTATGAAATAAAAACAAAATAATTATATGTTTAACAAATTAACATTGGAAAAAGATATACCACCAAATAAGGTTTGAACTTGGGACTACCGTAATTGTTCACTTACCATGATGCTCGGACCAATAGGCTACACGATGTCTGCGGAAGGTAACAATATTTCGTTTCTAATTATAATTGTTGTCGTTTATCGATATAAGGAATATTATCCTTAATTTTTTAAATATAATTTCATTGAGGAATTAATATAACGTAGTAACTCTTTCACATTTAAAGTATAAATTAAAGATATAAAGTTTAAGAAAACATGTAACAAAAAAGTCGTATACGTAATTTCTGTCGTGAAGACTATGAAATTGCTTAAAATTTTTATGAGCTATTACTTTAAATCAAAATAAATAATTGTTCGTTTATTTATTGTTTTTTTGTAAGAAATGTCATTTGCCTTTATTAATTTATTTGACCTTAAGATGTATATTAATCAATTCTAATCCGTTTCCTGATAATTAATAGGAACATTTTCTAAAATTGTTGATTGCTTTCTCATACTTTATATTTGTTTGTTTATTCCTATAATAATATAAAAGTAAAATACAATCATGGTCTATAAAAGATATTATAGGGATCATCTGTGTACATTTTCGATAGCCTTCCATGATACTACCGAAAGTATCCTACGGTCCTCCTAGTGTGTAGTTACACTAGGTAATGCATGACTTGGTCACGCGCGCGTCGATGAAACTCGCGCGCTGCACCCCGCTCAGCGGGGTACCCCTCCTCCGCTTCCTCATACTTCACCACCCAAATAGTTAAAAATTCCCTGCGTACAGTGAAAATTTTATCCGCTGTGTCAGTACTCTTTTTTTTTTTTTTCGCCTTTCTACGAGTGTCTGCATAAAGTTTAAATAAATAACACCATGTTTTTGGTGTCTTTTTTAGGTGTATCGCATCGTAAAAATTCACTCTCATAATTTTTTCTCAAACGCTAAAGAAAAAGACTAACAATGTAATAGAAGCCGTAATGTCAAAGACGGCTAACCGCTTGCGCGCTCGGCTTTAACTAACTATGCCGGCGGAGCAGTCGTGGACTATTTAAATTCGCCCCGAAACCCGCCCCGTGCTTGCATCGTTGCAAATGGAAGCGGACGCCGGTTTTCGCGTCGAATTATTAAATTAGCAGTTCGATTTGTTTGCACACTATTTACCGATGCCCGTGGCGCTCGAATCGCGCCAATTCGCAATTTGAATTTCACAAATTCGAATTTCGAATTTCCGCCGCGGCGCCCGTGCGCTCGGAAACACTTTATGCGGAGTCTCCAAGTGACAAACGCAATTTACCTCTAGAGTAATCAAAAAATAACACCGTAAGCTTTTATCTGTCAGCGCGTTTAAACTTTCCGATGTAACGCCGATATGCTGCTGCCCCGTGTATTTGTTTAATATAACGACGAAAAGCAGCTTTATTTTATGTAAATGACAGAGCTTTACATTGTGAGAATGGAAGTGTTATTTTTATACTGTATTCATTACACTCTCTCTCAATCGAAATATATCATCTTCGGCTGGTTGCACGAATGGGCAGCCTCGTCCGGGGCTGCAGCACGGCCTCTCAGAAGGCCGGAGGTATTATACCTTGGCGTTTCGCATGGATGGTGGCAATGCGACTGCAGTCTGTCAGGTATTATGGATATGAATGACGTAGGTAATCACACATTAGGTGAACCAGTATTAAAAAAATATATTAGGTTCGGATATCCTTGGATAGTTAGGAGCTGCCTATCGTAACTTTATCACTAAGGTTTATAAATCGTAAGTTAATAATTTACTGTCTTATGAAATATAAATGGAATTTTACATAATAATAGGCTAATATAAATAAATTGTGTAAAATATAATAATATAAATTGTGTACAAAAATGGAAAGAGATGTGTCAAATAAAGCTCGACGTAACATTAACGCCATTAGATATGCTGTGTACGGTATAAGGAATTAGAGCAATGTAAGCTTTTCAGAGATTGCCGGTAGCTTAATGGAGAGAGATAGGAGGTCTTACTATTTTAAACCAACGCAAATGAACTGGAAAGTAGATTATAAAATAGGTGATCTATCCACCATCTTACTTCAGGTACTCGCCATAAGCAGATAGTGATGTCTGAACACATCATACAACGCATTCGGATAAAATGGGTTCGCAACTCAGGTATACGCCTGGATTACTGAAGTGATTCACCGGAACTAATTATCGCTCCGGGCTGCCGGAACTGTGAAAGCCCTCAATATTACCGTCCGAGATCGGTCGTAATAATCCGCGGAAGATAAAAAACATTAAAAGGCCGTGGTTATCCGTTTCATAATAAAGTGCTCGGAGGACCGAGCTTTCCTCGGTTTATTTTTGGTGAATCGTGTATTTTGGAAATTAAAAAAATAAAGAAAAAAAATAAGTTTGTAAATGATCGTGACACGAACCTTCTGTTTCGTGGCCGCCCGATTACCGACCGAGCTATTATTATAACATTTTCTTTTCGGCGAATTTTACCGTCATATTCGAATGATATTTTTCTTTCCCTGAAAACAGGGATAAAAGAACATTTTCTAAAAATGAAACATAGCTAGATCGATTTTACGCCCCCGAATGTGCGAATATGTGCGTAGACATACTAAATTTCATGAAAATCCATATATATATCCATATAAGCTGACCCGGCAAACGTAGTTTTGCCGTATAAATTATTTGTATGGTAGAAAAAAATGTTTGGGGTGGACCATCCTTAACATTTAGGGGGATGAAAAATAGATGTTGTCCTATTCTCCACCCTGGCCGATATGCACACAAAATTTGCACGAATGCACGAAAAATGGACAAGCCGTTTCGGTGGAGTTCGATTATAACACCGTGGCACGAGAGTTTTATATATTAGATATATATATGTATATACAAGAATTTCTCGTTTATCCGTTAAATAATAAATAAGGAAAATCCGCATCTCCCTTAGATGGCGCACTATTTTAATACCTCTAAGGTCTCGCTTCTTATTTCCGAGGCGTTAATATCACAAAGGGGCTTTAATAAATCCTTTGTGTTTCCGCTTAATTGGAATCGTACGCGGAGGGCACTTAGCCGGTGACGCCGAGCGCCTCGTCTCCTTTGTTGGGACGTTCAAAATTATGTTGAGCCTGGGTCCTATGCATAAGCCCCGTGGTACATTAGTGATGTTAACCGGACCGCTGCGGGTGCGTTCTATCGCACGGAGCGCGCAACATTCGAATCACGCACGACAAAAGAAATACACCTCCGTCTGCGAGGGGTGCAATCGATTACCGGCTTTCAGTTATCCGCCGAAAAAGGTATCGGCGCATCCGGCGCTTTCAATTAGACCCCGGATTTTTGCGGTGTTTACACTGCTTCGGCTCCCAATGCGGCGGCTGTGTACACGGCTGTGTTTTCGGCTGTGTCGGGGGAACGAATTGTGTTTCCTTTTCAACTGCAAGATGACATTGATCGCCTGTCACGGACGAGTGATTTTTCTTTATGTGAGAAGGTGAAAAGCGAGCTGGCCGGACGTCAAGTAATAACCGCCGTCCATCGACATCTTCAACACTCTTTGGGCTCTCAATCACCAAACGAAACGCAAGAGAACAGTTCCACTTCACGCCGGATCTGGCCATATACTGTAAATAACAGCGGTTCTTGTTGCTTTCATCCGAATAAGAGTTATTTATATATATATATATATATATCAATAACTCTTATTATTCTATTTGTATATAACTATTCTCTTCAATTACTATGATATCTGATTTTATAAAGCTCAAATATAATGAATTATATTAAAACGTTATCACTATTTTTGAGTTTGTCATAACACAAACAGTTTTATTGCTTATCTCAACATAATGGAATAGATCCGGTGGTACACTATTCCATCCTGTTGCTAACAAGTTCAATAATTTTTATCCCAGATTTATTACCCTTGTTTTTCTATCACTTGATATTATAATATTTATATTAGCAAATTAAAAAAATCTTCTATTTCAATAAATAATATTTTGTATGTTACAATTATAAAATTTTGAATCTGTTCAGCGTTTCCAGTGATCGCAAATAACATTTAGACAAAGAATTTTTTTACTAACCATCAATTCATCGCCGTAACTTCAAAAATTTAGAATAAAAAAATATCATGATTTCAAAAATATAGCTCGACATAATATGGATGACATGAGTCTTCTTTATACACGTAGCTTGTACTTCATTAACATTTTGTGGATTGTAAATTAAGCTCTCTTAAGTCGACATATTAATTTCACCGTCGTAATAATAAGCCGGCACAAACATCGAGCTCACTGGGTGGTCGGAAAAAGAGGAAATGTAATATCGCCTCATCCGCACCCCGGCGGGTATGGCCATCCTCTTACTGTGAAAACTTTGAGATATGTCCTTAAAAAATCCATGCATTTACCATTAAGATGTCGCTCAAAACGTTCCCACATTATTATTTATAACGATATGGAACTCTATTAAATAAATTGTACATGTTTCTATGTACAAATGTGTTTTGTAAATGTACGTGAGTACATTAGTAGTGAGATACGTAGACGAGTCTTACAAGTCTAAGCTAAAAAATAACGCATAAGTGGCTCGGTCCAGACAGTTGCTAGGGGACAGGTATTGATAACGCGTGCCTGGGGTCCGCCGCGAATTCATTTTATTCATTTTCATTTCATTTCGGGTTGGCCTTTATGTCTCATTAGTGGTGGGTGATGCTTTTACGTTTGAAAAGTTTCGAGCAAATATTACAGCGGTTGCCGCGCGTGCTGCGGTCAAATGTTGTTATTCGAAATAACGTAAATTATTCAAATGTGGGCGAATACACAATTGCTTACGGTCAACAACAAAGCAAACTGTACGCTGCGTTTGCGGCATTATCGAACTTACATACGTGGGTTATAATGGCTTTCACGTGCGTCCAATCATGGTCTAAATTAAGAGCGCCCTTTAAGAATACATTTAAACTGAAACGGAAATGACAACATTTAATATGTAAAAGTTACTGCGTCCATTTAAAATTCTACGTTTCATAAGAACGCTCAAAGTAAAGTAAAAGTACCAAAACATTGTTCAGTTTTTTATATCTATTTTTGGAACTGTAATATGTTTCATCATTCGTTTCAAGTGTTTGTTTCTATTTTTTTTTTTTTTTTTTCCCTTACCGGAGGATAACGTTATCCTGCAGCTATAAGGAGTTTTCCGTCCGAAATAATTATCCGTCGGAAAAGCAAAAAAACAACGGCGCCAAAGCCAATATGTTAGCAGCTACGCCACGGAGTAATCGAGTGAATAATATAATATTTTGTATTTCTCGTCTTCTGCAAAACACTTGAATGATTTTTTAGAATTTTCGCAAATTTTTGGTTGCTAATTAACACTTAAGGATTATGATTAATTATTTTGGTTATTCGTACAGTCTGAAATTGCCATAAAAAGGATGATATCTCGAGATCACTACGATTATAACTTTCTTCAATCGGTGCCGTGCCAATGTTAACTATAGTCTCCTGTGTAATTAAAGTCTATAATCTATATAAGGTTGCTACTAGAAAAAAAATGCTTATAAAAATGTATATTTTTTTTATGTGAAAAGTTGCCAAGCGAGCAGACGGTTCACCTGATGTTAAGTGAATGCCGCCGCCCATGGAACATCTGCTACACCCGAGGGTTGCAGATGCGTTAAAAACCTTTTGAAAATTGGGCTCCAGCCACCTCTCTCACCAGACGAAACGCGAAAGTGTTTAAAAATAATGCTGTCTATATGTATGCTGCCTATGTTTCTTATATTTTCTTTTTGTCTATTTCCTTGTGTGCAATAAATTCTATTCTATTCTATTCCATATAATATATCTTTAAAATTAAATGACTTATGTTTTACTCGACTTTTTCGGAACCATCTTAGATGCTGGCTAACATTGACACGACGGTCGAATTTTGATGATGTGAATGGAGACGATGCGTTGCATACGATGCAAATTCTATTCACATTCAAATATCGTTATACAATATAAAAGCATTATATTTAATTATTGATTGTCAAAATTCTACAAAATAAGTCAACGGAATAAGTCAACGGGACAATTTTTTTAACATTATTTGACAGTTAAACATGTTTACAAAATTATAAAGTCCACTTAAAACAGCCTGGAGCGATCACTGTTTAAATAGTGTGTTAACATTTAAATAATCTCTAATATCATACATAACAGGCTTTAACACAAAATGGTTCCTTTTCATTACATTGTTTCATAAAAGATCTAATAATTCTACGCAACCTAGCTGTGGGTAGAATTAATTTATGTTTGTTCGTGTTATTTAAATCATGCATGTACATAATAGTCGAATCATTCTTAATTTTGTGGAAATATATAACATTTCAAAGTATATACTAAGAAGCAAGTGTCGTTATTTTTATCATGTACCAAATTTCTAGACGTTTTAAGGGTTATAGACTGCTCGAATAACGCGGTGCGCGCGGTGTTGCCTACAAAGGCATGAACTGATAGATTCTGCTCTTGTGCGGCCGCGCCGCCTATGTCCAGGGGCGGTGCGTGGTTTAGAAGAGGCTTTATATAAACTGGCGCCCCGTCAACGCGGCGGATGACAAGCTCGGTGTCGGCCTAACACGTATTTCGGACGCGATCTACGGAAATCCGATGCGTCGAAATTGCATTTTGCGTCCGGTTTCGTGTTACGTGAAAAGACTCATTTTTGTGGCGTTTCTGCTGTAACCTTTTTTTTAAAGGCTTTGAACGAGGATTGTTTTCTGATTTTGTTTGGATCTGTTCCTGTGGGTAAGCGATTAGTTTCGCCGTTGGATCAGCGTGACCAGTGTGCTTGCGGACCTTCGCTTTCCTGGCCAGACGGAATGCAGAAGTTACATTCGAGTAAGTTTTCTGCGGGTTAAAATCTGCGTCGCCCGACTGCAATAAAGTATATTTAATCGAATAATCCAATAAAACATAATTTGGACAACGTAAGTCCGTATATCCATTTAATTGAACGTAATACGAGCGTACGTCCCAATAATTGCTTTCCTGGAACACGCCCGTGGCGATATTCGCGAATGATAGATAAAAGGTTTCCCATAATCCAATTTTATTCCACCGCGTTTTTTGCGCTTCGCTTGCATTTTTTTTTTTTTCATACTTCCCCCTTGGCTTCGCCGTCATGAAATCACATTAGGTGCCGTCGTGTTTTAAAGCAACATATAAAGTATACTCACTACACGGGAAAGTTGACTAAATCTCTTATCCTTTAAACGAGCAATTCTTGTATATATATATATATATATATATATATATAATCGGAATTTCGGAAACGGCTCCAGCGATTTTCATGAAATTTAGTATGTACGTAGATTCGGGTGCGAAAATACGATCTAGCTAGGTTTCAAATTTAGAAAATGTCCTTTTATCCCTGTTTTCAGGGAATGAAAAATATCATTCGAATACGACGGTAAATTTCGCCGCAAAAAAAATGTTATATAGCTCGGTCGGTAATCGGCCAGAAACAGACGGCCGTGATTCGTGTCACGATCATTTACACATTTATTTTTTTACTTTTTTTTCGATTCCAGATCATTGCTTTCTTTATTTTTAATTTTTTGTCGATTTGTTATTTTGTTATTTTTTTCCCTTTTTTTTATAGTTCTTTCTTTTGTGAAAAACATCAGTTCATATTTTCTTATTATTGCGTCGGTAAGATCGAAAAATATTACGCATATTTTATTACTCAGTAATTTGTATCTAAGTTTAATTTCCAAAAAAACAAAGCTCGGTCCTCCGGGTACTATTGCGTTAAGTTCTCTCGCGATTTATCTCGCCATTTTAGGAGAATAATGAAAAACTGTCGGCTTTAAAAAGGTGTTTATTAGAATCAATGAAAATGAATGCAGGTTATAGATTTAATAAATATCTTATCAGATGTGCAAGTCGATTAAGTGGCTCATGGTCAAAGTGATTGCGCTTTAAAAAAGAGCAACGAATATATTATCAGTGTTATCACGTTATCAGTGGTCTTTGTAAAAAAATTGTATTTTTGTGTCTCTTAAAATGATTTTAGTAACTCTTACAGTCGAAACGCTAAAAGAAGAGCTGAAAAAGAGTAATCAAGTTCACTGTTGAACATAGGCCTTCCCCATAGACTGCGACGACGCACGATCCGGCACGCACGGCTTAAACATTAAAACGATAGAATCATTTTTCACAGATTACTTCTCAGTTCATTCACCCCTTAACGTCGACGTACCACGCTAATCCCCTCGAGATTTTCCGCCGGTCCGTCCATTCGGCGCATTCAGGGCATTGTGCGCCCGCACCGTTCCCTGTCGTAGCCTGGACGGGCGTTCTTTCGGTAGCGGGTCGTCCTTTTTCCACGGACGGCGAGAAGTATGCGCGCAATTCCTATTCACACGCGCGGACGGCGGCCGTCGGCGCTGAAAGCCGGCCGTCCGTTACGCTGTGACGGAATACTTGCGTCGCGTTTCCCCCGAGTGTGGCGCGGAATTTTGCGTTGGCAGAATTTTGCGCCTCCACGATTCCGGTCTCGGCAAAAGGGCGCTGGTTCCCCTTTGCTCTGAATGTGCATACAGTGACAGTGATATTCGGAAAATATGATTACGTGCAAAAGTAAAGTGCATGTGCAGTGTAAGAGTCATTTCCACGAGTAATGTTCGTGATGTTTGTCACTTCATGCTGGTCTTCTGTGTGGTCGCGGTGCTTCACAGAACGGACCTGCCCATCAGCGCAACAGTGGCAACTGTTGCGTGGCCCTACCACAGTTAAGTTCTACGAAAAATCGGGTGAGGGACGTGGATCTGTTGCTCTCCCAGCGAGAATATTCCTTTTTTAAATTCTCCGTTGTACAAGTACATATCTAACTTGAAGCATCGTGTCTAACATAATTGCGTGCCTGCAAACCCATTGATTGCCACTGCGAATGCGGCGGGCTAGTGTCATTCCGATATTATTAAACGATTCTGCCATCTCCGTCGCTTAAGATCTCGCCAGCCGGGATTTTAGCGCTTCGGAGTTTAAACACTAGATTACTTTCCGGTTTCCATTTTTCGTTCAACTTTCTTCGCAGACTCCGGCGGGCGTTTGTGGCACCAAGTCGTCATCCAGAATGGCGGCCAGAACTTTTTCGAACAAGAGTTTTCCATTAGCATAGAATCACGGTATAATAAAGACTGATTGCTAGTAGTTAATTAAAATATGCTTATTTGTTCGTTACCTTTTCATATCCACGGTCTGTTATCGACCTGTTTGTTCTTTAATTTAACATCACGGCCTACTCGTCGTTTACCTTAAAGAAGATTTCTATGACGACTTTGTTTTACAGTACGTTAATCATCGGCAAAGTATGTTTGTTCCATACAACGGATACAACAGCAACTTGGAGATATTGACTTTTGTCTTTCTTTTTGCCTTTTGGCTTAGTGCGAGTCAACTGAAATCTTTCGCTTATTCTGTACAGCTTGCTGTCTAATTACAAAAGTTTTCGCGTTGTTTCGCCACTGGCAAGCACTGACAATTTTTTTACCTCCTTTAGTTCGTTGTCAGTGCCTGCTTCTTTTTTTGGACGCCAGTAACAAACATTGTTTCAGAATGCTATTTTAAAAATGTGATATTGACAGTAATATAAAAATATAATGATATGTATATATATTTCACCCTAACCAAATAATTTAAAATTATGGTGAATGCTAGAAAATTTTATAACAAATTTGTGTTCGCCCTTATTGTAGATTTCAATTATGTTTTATGGAAAATTAAAGCTATTTGCCTAAGCGGTGCGGTCTTTACTTGCCATTATTTAATTTTTTATAGGTTCTTATACTTTTATCTCGCTATTTTATTTCTCGTGACTAAAATATATGCCTTATCTTCTATTCGGTAAGTTTTAATATAATAAAAGAAACAATGATGGGGTTGTAAAAACTTTATTATTATTTATAAACTTCACCTTACTCCGTCATATTGCAGTTGAGAAAAGTATCGATCATGACTACGCATTTTTTGGTCGACACTAACAGACTTTTTATACGATCCAAGTAAGGCGACATGTTGCGAGCACAGTCTAATAAGTCTCACAGACAGTAATCGTGTTTGATGTTTGCTTAGAAGCCGACACCGTCTAGACAGGTCTTGACAGAAGGCGTGCCAGCTACTTATGGTGAGGGCTGTCGCTAAGATTCGCAACGGTTGACTTGATTTTTTTTTGCTATACAACTTACTTCACCTCCCAATTCGCAGTATTAAACTTGACTTGTGCGCGAACAATGAAAGCGTACGCGCTATGCCCTCGTAAATACTTGAATGAAAATTCTAATCGCGCACCGATTGAAATTAAATTTTTCTTCGGCAATCGCAGACGGAGGTAATACGGATTACCGGTTCCCTTTTATTGAATGAACTGCCTAGTGTAAAACGTATCACGGTCTTATCTAGGTTTGGCTTCTTAAAATCCCGCCTTAATCTATATATATATATATATATATATATAATAATATAAAATAGGGGTTCATTTATATATATGTAGGATTAATTATTTAATAGTTGAGTAAAAGATGATTTTTGAACGAAGTATTGTGTGAATGAGAAGGATGGATGACGTAAAAGGGATTGAGGGACTTTTCGCAACGACGCCACGAACGAGTAACGTGTATCTGTGTCTTAAAATGTATTAATTTAAATAAAGATGAAAATAGTAACAATATACTCAAAATAATGATTTTATTTATCCTACGCCTACAAAATTCTTGTCCGGGATAACGGGCTTAAAGTGATTTTTGGGTATTTTAATAACGAGAGAAAGTGATCACGTACGCCAGCCGCCATTACGTGTTACAAAGGAAGCGTATTAATTGTCACTTTAAAATAACGACGATAATATTTACGACGGTTAAAGATGATGGAGAGCAATAACGACGATGGTAAATATAATCCATTCTTCCTGATGAATTCCCTACCTAAGTTTACGGGGGATGATATGACGTATTCCTCTGCAAAATGGACGCAGGATATTGAAGACAACGCAGATATTTTCGGATGGAACCAACTACAACGGCTAATTATTGCGCGGAGGTGTTTGGCTGGTACTGCACAATTATGGCTGAAGACGGAAAAAGCATTTAAAACTTATGATGAATTTAGAACGGCTCTGATGAAGGAGTTTCCTGATACTATAAATTCCAAACAAATGCATGAAATGATGAGTAATCGGAAAAAGCAGGCTAATGAAACGGTTTATCAATACATGCTTGTCATGAAAGAATTGGGAAAAAGGGCTAAGTTTGCAGACTACGTCACCATACAGTATATAGTCGATGGCATAAACGACTACGAATCAAACAAATTATTATTCTATGGTGTTACATCCTATTCAGTGCTCAAGGACAAAATAGCATTGTATGAAAGTTACAAACAGAAAACCAAGAAGAGTACTATAAGCAAAAGAGAAGTAACAGTAATGAAGCCGATGGCACAACGGGAAACTGGAGGACAGACATTCCAACGTTGTTACAAGTGCGGTGAGAAAGGGCATCTGTCGAGTTCCTGTCAAAGAGGTGTAAAATGTTTTAGGTGTAATGAGTTCGGTCACATAGGCGCAGAATGTAAGAAAACGGAACCTGTAATAACACAAATGCATGCAAAGCGGGATCGACGATCGATGTTCATTCAATATCCCACGCTGACATCAGAGGGCGCTAGTTCCGCTAACGTGGACGTGAATGAAGAAGGTGAACGTGAACGAAATGTAATGAGTTGCGATCCGAAGGAAAGAGTGAGTGCCTGCATATCAAATGTTTGTGACAGTAAGGGGATTCAGTGTCAACTTCAAAAACGTCAGTCTGTATTTAATGTAGATAAAGGTGATGCGATAATTAATAGAAGCATAAAAAATGTAAAAATAGGTAATTTCGTGACGAACTGTTTAATTGATACGGGTAGTGATTTAAACTTAATAACTTTAAATTTCTTTTCTAAATTAAATATTGGATATACACCTGTCAGAATGTTGCTTACCGGGTTGGGTTGTTCACAAGTATTTTCAATCGGTAAATTCGACACGGAATTAATTATCGACGATCACCATTACAATATTAATTTTTATATTGTACCAACTAATGTAATGCCACATGATGTAATATTAGGTCAACCATTCTTAGTAAATACTGTTACGGTTATAGACAAAGGTGCCGTTGAAATTAGGCCTCCATGTTACGATAGTTTATATCAAAATACTATATGTCTTTTTTTCCAGTAATGATGACCAATGTAGTGCGGTAAAAGATATTATAAATGATTACGTACCTTTGAAGACCAAAGATGCACCCATTAGGCTGAAAATTGTTCTAAAAGATGATATTCCAGTTACACAACGGCCTAGAAGATTAACTTTAACCGAAGAACTATTAGTGAAGCAGCAAGTTGATGATTGGTTGAAGATGGGCATCATTCGTCCTAGTTATTCTGAGTATGCAAGTCCCTTAGTATTGACAAAGAAAAAAGATGGCAGTGTACGAGTTTGCGTAGATTATCGAAAGATAAATCAGAAAATGGTGAAAGACGAACATCCATTACCTGTAATCGACGACCTTATTGACAAATTGAGTAGAGTGAATGTGTATAGCACACTCGATTTAAAAAATGGCTTTTTCCACTTACCAATTGAAGAAGAGTCGGTGAAGTGTACATCATTTGTAACGAGTAACCCTGAAGGCCAGTATGAATTTTTAAGAGCACCGTTTGGTCTTTCTATCTGTCCTAAATACTTTACAAGATACATTAACATCATATTTGCGGATTTTATAAGAACGGGAGTGGTTTTGATATTTATTGACGATATAATTATACTTTCAAAAGATGAAAAAGGGGGAATTGAACGACTTAAAGCTTTGCTGAAGGTGGCAGCGGAGTATGGGCTCGAAATAAATTGGAAGAAGTCACAAATACTACAAAGATCTGTTGAATTCTTAGGCTACCATATTTCCAATGGAACGATAAGACCATCTAGTGAGAAAACAAAGGCTGTTATGACCTTTCCAGTGCCTAAAAATTTGAAAGAACTGCACAGCTTCATAGAATTAACTTCGTACTTCAGGAATCTCAAAATTGAGAATAAAGAAGGCACAAGAAGAAGATGAAGGGTTAAAGATTATCAGAAAACTATTAGAAAAGAATGGATATGAAGATTATTTTTTAGAGAATGATGTTATCTATAAAGGACCGGAGAAGAAATTGGTATTACCTGATATGATGGATATGGAATTGATTAAAAAAGCC